TGTCCTTATTAATTAGGCACACTGTAGTCGCGTTCGAAGGGAAAAGTTTATTACCGATGATTATCTAAAAAATAAAGAGAGAGAAAAAAAAAAAAGAAAAAACTAATCTAAATATAAATATATCGATTATAATAATTATTCGAACGCGCTCGTGACTCCGTCCGATTTCTTTGATCGTTCGATGATGTTCGATTAATTAAAACGAGATTCGAATTTATTAGTTTGATTCACGACAAGGCCGTCCCTCCAGCCCCTCCCCACCCACCCACCAAGGATTACGTATTGGCATCTGAAAATTTCAAATAAGATCTCTTTTCTTTCTTCCTTAAGCTATTTAATTATTCTAATCAATTTTAAGATCTAATTGTGTTCTAACATAAGATCTTGGAAGAACATTTTTTTATACGTACGATAACAAAATAAAAACTTTTTCGATTATTCATCTGTAAATTATTACACATAGAAAGAGAAAGAGAGAGAGAGAGAGAGAAGAAAAAAAATAAAAACGATACGCGTCAACAATTGTAACAATGGTGGATATTAATATTACAAAAAAAAAATTCAAAATAATAAATTAATTTTCTAATTTATATATAAATATATTATATAATATAATATATATAATTTCAATAGAAAATATAAAAGGCATATCTCTCATATAAAATAAAATTTGTTTAATTTGTAATATTTGATTTAATTGATAATTTTGTAATATTTGACTAAAAAAAAAAACAAATTTTTAATACGACGAGAAAGAACGAAGAAATATCAAGACAAGGTCATCGTATATATATATATATAACTATACATTAACGTTCTTTTTTTCTTTTTCTTCTACCCCACTTGGTGTATATTTGTTTTTTTTTCTTTTCGTTTTTTTTCCCCGACAAAACCTCCTAGGCGCGTTTAGATAGTATTTTAAGAGAAAGAATTTAGAAATTGACTTAGGAGGGGTATGTTTTGTTCGGGTGGGGGAAAGACGTTCATCGTCTAATACTCTCTCTCTCTCTCTCACACACACACACACACATACACACGTTTTGACGAAAGTAATTTAGGACAATGTACCTAAAGGTTTTATGCCGTAAAACCGGCCCCTTCGGATCTTCGAAGTTTGGAGAATGAAGTGGAGTAGTAGCAAGTAGTTAGTTGTCGATCGATCGTTATGCTTGAAATTGTGGCGGCGGCGCTGGTTGTTTCGTGGTATCGAAGGGAAACCAAGGGGGAGAGGAAAAAACACTAGTAAAAGGGCATTCGTAAGCTTTTAAAGGGACTGGTACGTAACTTTCTTCTTCCAAACGTTCGATCTCGGTTAAATCCTCTCTCCTTGACGCGCGTTCCCATTTAATTAATTATAAACTCAGCCGGGATTTTTTATTCGTTTGTATGACTTAGAAAATTCTAATATGATTATTATTGTTTTTTGTAAAATATGATTTATTTTCAACGTTATTCAATTTTTCTGGTTGTTTTTGTTGTTGTCATTTTTAATAGAAAATCGTTTTAATTAATTTAACGCGTAAGCTTTTTTCCTCGAAATGTTATTTATATTTCATTTCTTTCTTTTTTTTTTTTATTTTTTCCTTCAATTTTTTCTATTTCAATAATAATTACACGTTTTAATAATTATTCATTCAAGATATAAAAATTAATTCTCGTTTATCTCGTAAAACGTAGTGACAAATTAATCGGCCGACGTGGATCAAGAATGTAGCGATAATTACTCGTGGGGAAATTTTTGTATAATTATTTTTTCTAATTTTGCAATTCAAGTCGCGAGAAATATCGTGATAATAAACGACGAAAATCGCATCGACCTTGGGAAAAATTTTAAACGCTATTATCGTGTTTGAATACTTTCGTATACGGTGTTGTTTTAAAAATGTAATGGACAAAAAAAAAAAGTATTTCTTAATATTATTTCGTGCACACCTTATTGGTCGGTTGATTTATTTTTTTTTTGTCAGGATTTTTATATATATATCGTCGAAGATCGTTAGAAAAACGTGGTCTCGCGAAATGCACTGCACCGCCAGGTTGCACGATAAAATGAAAAAAAAAAGAAATAAATTTTTGAAAGGAAGTAGAAACGTTCGAATTACGTGACATTTATTTTTGAGGACGTATAATCTGTACGAAATTATTTCTAACAAGTACTAATAGGATTTTTCAAAACTTACGAGATCCTTGTCGTTTTACGATTTTACATATCGCTACAATTATTGTTGTTCAATGTACAATAGAAAAATCTTCTTTTTCTTTCCATTTTTTTTTTTTAAACTTATATTCGAAAATAGGATTACACATATCCGTGTATTTATGAATTATTAGATTAATCCTATAACAAAGAAACAATTAGAAATTCGGACAGATTCGGATTTGGTAACGCTAAAATTTATAAATCATCTTTCAAAATTATCAAAATTATCATCTCTAAAAATATCAATTACAATAAACGAACAAGATCAAATCATTTCAATGTTCATTACAATTGATACGTATTTGCGAATATTTCGTTAACAAAAATTTGAAATAAATTCGACTTAATTCGTGCGAATTATAAGTACAATCGTATGCGATAAATGTTAACAGTAATTATGTTTTACAACATATTTTTTTTTTTATTTTTTTATTTTTTTTAAATCACATCACGTGCATTTTACAGCACACGATAATTTTTCTTTTCGAGAATTCATTCTACGAGTATGCATACACGTATGCATATAAGTAGCGTGCAGATAATTCGATATCGCTATTTGCATTATTACACTATTTCTAAATTCGGAAAAGAAAAGAAAAGAAAAAAAAGGACGAGATCGATAAATGATTTTGATCTTCGTATTTTTTAGACTCTAATTTCGGCCAATCTCAAGCACGATTTTATATTTGTTGCGCGAGAAAAATAATAAACATTTGCTCCGTCCGTAAAATAAACGCTTCTTATCTGAACTTCGTGGTCGAATATATTATTATATTATACGATGAGATATTTTCAATGAAAAAAAAAAAAAAACTAAAACAAAAAAAGAAACAAAGCAACATAATCAAATCAATCTTTCTCTCTCTCTTTCTCTCTCTCTCTCTCTCTCTCTCTTAATTTATCTTTTCGCAAATTAAAACTAAAATCTAATTTTATTTTCGTCTCGTGCAAAGTTTCTTGCTTATTCTTTTTCTTTTTTCGTTCTAATTTTATACACGCGAACGATAATTTTGTTTATTTTATATTTCACTGAGATCTATGAAATATTAAGAAAGTTAATAGAGCAAGATGGATAGTATTTAAATTACAATTAGTCGAATATAATATAAATGAAAAACTACAAATGCATATATATATAAAATTTCTTAAAAAAGAAAAAAAAGAAGAAAAAAAAAGAAAAAAATATAAAAGAAACCTATTGGACACAACTTATAGTATAATAAATAAATATGATATAGTAGATATCCATAAATTACACGTATATAAACAAAAATACAGGGGAACCTCTAGTATCCGATGATTTAGTATTTGAAACGTTTTACTATTCGCATGCTCTATTATCCGAACACTGTCTATACACTTTTACTATTTGTGTCCATCTGTTATGAAAACAAATAATTCTAAAGATAATACATGTTTTGTACAATATGATATCTTTCTTATTGGATCCAGTATGAAATAAATAACTAATGCATTTACAATTAACATAATTATAAATAATACCATCGAAAAGGAATTGTGTATTATTAACAATATAAGTATAAAAATGAAACAAAAGAAAACAAAAAATATTTTTAAAAATCATAACTGATTTAATGAAACCATGAGTGGTTTAATCTATGAGAAACTAGTATAATAATATGATTATTAATAAAATTAACCAGGGAAACAAAGAAATACTCTATATTATATTAGACACAAATGATGGAAATGTAATTAAAAAAAATTGTTATAAAAAAATTCTCTTTCGTCTCCGAAAAATTATCATTTAATATATTCATTCGGATACTCAAGGTTCTGTTGTACTTCTCATCTCTTCTCATGACTGTATATCTCTAAATATTATACTTTACATGCCTTCTGTCAATCTGTGATCACAATGTTAGATTGAATACATACGACGTGTGTACGTATGTACGTAGATATGTATGTATGCATTCGTATATGTTTGTATGTAAGTATATATATATATATATATACTTACTATACACTATATAAGTATGTATATATATATATATATATGTAAAATCAAGTAACAAACAGCTTTCATATTCGACACATGATAACCATCGTAGTTTCACTAATGCAATTTTACTTATTGGTTGTTAAATAAAATCGCATAAAAATATGATCAACCGATCGTACGACTTGAGAAACGGGACCAGGTTCAGAAAACAAGTTTATCGTACTGCTACTTTTTACCGATCACCTTTTACTTCTTATATTGCACTTAAACTATATGTAAATATATAATACAAGAAGAAGACCAAATAACCAATGAAACGTGACCAATTAATAATTGATTACTTTCAAATTTTCCTTCCTTCCTTCCTTACTTTCTTCTCGTTCTTTCTTTTTTTCTTCTTTCTTTCTTTCTTTAAAGATAAACTATAGAAAGCTTACTTCTTTTCACTCGTACAAACTTTTATGCGTAATTCCGTGTAATAAAAAAGAATATTATTAATATTCGTTGTTTCGCAAATACGAATGTTCAAAATTTAAAGATAAAAATAATACTGGTCACGTTACACGAAATTTATCCATGTTACTCAATTATAATTACATTACTCTACGAAAATTCACATTAGTCAGAAATTTAGAATCTGATCTTTTTTTTTATTTCAACTGTGAGTAATATCTCCTTTCCGAATCTTAAAAATGATTTTTTCTGTATTTCATTTGTATGTGTGTGTGTGTATTTTTTTTTCTTTTTATTATAAATTAAATTCAAATATTCAAATATATATACTTCATCGTCAATCTATTTTTCATCAAACAAGTATTACTTACAATTGTAAAACCACGTACAGAGTAATATTCATCAGAGGATAGAATTTTAATACGTACAACAAGGCTGGAGAAAGATATTACGCACTAAAATAATAAACAAACAAAAAATAATAAATAATAAATAAAAATAAGTGGTCATGGTCTAACTCTAAAAATTTACAATTATTAGTCGAGAAAATTATTGGCGACAAACAAAAACTGTCGGTTCATAGTGTGTGTGTGCATGTGTGTGTGCGCGCGTGTGTGTGTGGGTGGGTGTATGTATCACTGACTGTTACGATATATATAAATGTAAAGTTAAAATAATTAATAATTAAGTTGTATAGAAAAAAAAGTGTGTGTATACGGCTCCACGCATACACACACTTGTAAGAGGTACTAATAGATATTACAAAATACTCGGACTATATCAAAGAGTTCAATTAAAAATTACTTCAAGTAATATGATTTTTATTTATAATAATCTCATCCACACGTTGTCGGATAAATTGATACAATTTGATCGTTTTTTCTTTAAAACCGACACGACATCCGTCCAAAAAGGAAACACAATTATAAAATTTATAATAAATTCTACGATTCTTTTTTTTTGTATTTTTCTTTTTTTTATTTTTTGTTTTTCTTTTTTATTACAAAGTTTTTAGATTTATGATACTTCTCGATGTAGAAAAGAAAAGAAACAATAATTACATTGTCTTAATAATACAATTTATATTTGTATAAGATAATAAATCTCTTTTTGTTTTTTTTTTTAATATATATATACATATATATAAAAATAAATTACACTATTAACAAATATTCTTGCACGGGGTATAATATATGAAAATAAAGCCAACGAGTGTGCTTGTATGCCCGTATAAACAAAACAAAAAAACAAACAAAAATGAAAAAACAAATAATCAAACTACCGTGAATAAAAAAAGCACGTAGAATCAAAGAATATCGTTGTATACGATATTTGTCCAATTATACTTAAATTATTAACTCGCTATTGAACTTATGTTAGAAAACAAGAAAAATATATTCTAAGCTTCCTCCTCTGTCATTGGAGATTCATTTAATCTCGTTGTAATAAAAAAATCGGTCCTTGATTGTGTGAATTGCCTAAATATATTTATACAACCGTAATTAGTAACTCTGTAATAAAATTGTGACAACGGTCTCAAACATAAACTCGATACGAATTTTTAAATTCGTGAGCAAGCAAAACAAAAAAAATTGGAGATCTTACACGTACTTATACTTAATACAATAAACTTAAAACAAGTGTATATGTGTAATTCTCAAACTAAAAAACTAAAATAAAAAGTGGAATACATCTGTGCTTCGCTCTATTCTTTAGTATTCATTTAGAAATTAATAATAATCTCTCAACAACTGTAAGATTAATCAAATGAAAAAAAAAAAAAAAAGAAAAATCGATGAAACTGATACAAACGAAAAATACAAGGCCCATGAGAATGACGCTCGTTTAGAAATCTAACAAATGAAAAATGAAATAACTATATCTAATCATCAAGAAAATTCATTCGTACATATTCGCGTAGTTACAAATTTATATCTTTAATCATACGTGAAAAGAGAAATGATCAAAATTGTAAAACCATATTCGAAATGAAAATATTGATACATGTGTATTTCAAGTATCAAGATTATATAGCGTAGAATAGAATAAAAATATAAAAAAATAAATAAAATGAAATGAAACTATAATGACGATTCGTTCGATTATAAACTTACTATGATGTAAAATCGATCGAATTGGTCGTATGTGTAAAACTCGTTTAGCTGCTATATTCTAAACTTTGAGGACCACGAATAACACAATAATGCGTAACTCGTTTTATCTGTATATTTATTAAATGATCGTAAATGGTCTTGCTATGGAGTAAATTAAAAGTAAAAAAGAAAAAGAAGAAGGAGAAGAAAAATGTAACGTGTCTTGTAACTTGTATGCGCGCTACTTCCCTTATAAGAAAAAATAAATGAAGTTCGGTTCAGATTAATACGTAGTTTGAAATATTATCGTCGTTATAACATTTCGTCGAATTTTAATTCAACCGAATAATTCTGAACTTCTTATAACAGTTATTGCCGCCATTAAAATAACGTCGACCTGCTTCTTAACATTACAAATTATATGTAATCTGAACGCATGCTTTTAAGTCGTAATATCGGCTCTTTTTAACTGTTTAAGAAAAAAAAAACTAAAAGAATTAAAGTGAAAGAGAAAAAGTAGTAGAAAGACAAAAAAAAAAGAGAGAGGAAAAAAAACAAACAGAATATATCATCGGTGTCATGTTTTAAAATAAATGTCTATAATATATTGCCAAGATGGCGATCGCAAATGATACTATTCGATTGTCAGTTTTGATCTTGTAATGGATCTACTCAAAAGATATTTATTAAAAAAAAAAAACAAAAAAATAATACGTAATCCAATAGTAGCCTAGAATACAAATGTTAAAACACCACATTATTCACATGGGAAAAAATAGTATTTTATTTGGTAAAAAGAAAATAGAATCTCATAAATAAATCTATGTGACACCGGAAGTAATCTATCTATTTATCTATCTATTGTGATCATAAATGTATTTATTTTCTACTTGAATATATTTTTTGCATTGATGTATTTTTCCGTAAAAATGGCTGACGCGACAAGCAACGTCGTATTCCTTCAAATGCAGCGCCTCGTTTTATGAATATATTTTATTGTAATTTGTGTAAATTGTAGATTTTATAATGTTGTAATAAAAAGGCACTTGTTTTTACTTCTTGCGATTACTTTACGTTTCCTTTTTATAAATGATAAAGTCGAAATCTGTTTCGGATAAAACAGAACACCAAGAAATGCTTTTTGAATCGTTTATATGACAACAGATGGCACTGTTGCAGTAACAAGAAAATAATACAATTTATATGAACTACCGCGCAAGTATTTTGAATAATTATATAGTTGAAATTAATTACATTTGTTACATAAAATAAAAAGAAAACGATAAGGAGAAGTTAATTAAAAAATTTGCTTGTGAGTATATATATGTTACTTTCAAGAAAATAACCTTACGATTGTTTACACTTATAACCTAACTTTGAGAGTGCTTCTCTAAGCATCACATTTTAGATTTTTGTAATTTTTAAATTTATAATATTAATTTGAAAATATATATATTTTATTAACTTTAATTATAATATATTGTATACTAATTATCTTTTATTATTTTTGATATTTTTTATATTAATACAATATATCGTTTTTTAATTTATTTTCCAAAGCTTAACTTTTAAATTCCATTTATAGCTACCTTTGATCTTATGGATCCAGAATTTTTATCAAGATTGGTGCCACAAAACAAAGATCATGCAAGACCTGCTTGCAAAAAATGTGGTTATGCAGGACATTTGACTTATCAATGTCGCAATTTTATTAAAGTTGATCCAAACAAAGAGATCGTATTAGATGTAAGTAGTACCAGTTCCAACAGCGATGAAAACTACGTCACACCATTAACAGAATTGCGTGAAAAAGAATTAAAGAAGAAATTGAAAGAAGCTAAAAAGAGACACAAGGAAAAGAAAAATAAGAAAAGTTCGAAGAAGAAAAAGAAAACTAAATCAAGCGACACAGAATCTGATAGTTCATCCACGGAAGAAGATGAGGAAGAGCGAAAGACAGAGAAACGACTAAAACATAAAAAAAGGAAAAAAAAATCTAAACATAAGAAGAAAAAGAAACGTAAAAAGGAAAGCTCGTCAGAGAGCAACAGTGATTAATATCAACATTGTCAAAACCACTGTCGATACAAAATTTATAATATAAGATAGTTTTAAATAATTTTTTAATTGTATCATATGCTCTTTCTTAATATAATGTATATACATCAATAGACACTTTACTTGGATTATATAAATAAATTATTATAATATTACCTACTATATATTATCTTTTGTATTAATTTTTAATTTATAAAAGAATATAGAAAATATATTGATTCAAAATTCAACAATAAAACTGTTCACTACACAATGCATTTTAATATTTAAGTTTAAATTTTTTCTATTTGCGATGTTCATACTTTTATATATATATCTGATTTTTATGAAGAAGGACTTCGTTTAAAAGCTAAAAGATAATTTAATAATTACATTTTTCAATTTTTTTAATAAATATTATTTGTCTTGCAAAATTCATGTCTACAAATTTTCCATGAAAGTTTTCATAGGAAAAGAACTCTATTTTAAAGATATTAGAAATAGAATAAAGATGGTTATTTATTTATCGCCAAAAATACATAAAACATTTCTATTAATTTAATATTAGAATAAAGGAAGTATATCAATATAAGATGGTTTCCCACACTTCCGGTTAATTGAAAAAAACAACTAGCTAGAAACAACTACAATATTCCCTAGTAAACGAACTTTATACAATTCCAAATGATTTATAAAATAATGCATTTCATTTTAATAATTGAAAAGTTGTCAATGCATAACTAACCTTACAAAATAATATTTATCTATTTCATTGTCTTAATGTGATTTAGCCAAAAAAAATAGACAATCTTATGTTATCTAATTTTATTACAATTTTACGATACCTGTATAATTATTGCATAGTTGGTACACTTGGAAGAATCCACATTCATCGTTGGAGGTGCATACGAATTGAAGAAGATATAGTGAACGGATGATATATTCTACGCTTCTGTAAACAATAAATAAAACAAACTTATTTTGTTAGATTTTTGTGATTCGTATAAAATTATTCTCATACAAGTTCGTAAAAAAAGTTTACCATTAAAATAAATTAATTAAAATAATGACAAGACACGCAAGAAATTGTACAGCTGGTGCAGTTTACACTTATCACGAGAAAAAGAAAGATGCAAATGCTTCAGGTTATGGTACCAACACCCAAAGAGTTGGAAAAGATTCTGTAAAGGATTTTGATTGTTGCTGTCTTACTTTACAACCTTGCAGAGAACCTGTAGTAACGTATGTATTATTTATAATTTATTATTTGTTATTTTTTATTAAAAAATTCTTAAATTACATGTAATGTTTTTATTAATCCTATTGTTTACAGAAAAGATGGTTACCTCTTTGACAAAGAAGCAATATTAGAATACATTTTAACAAAGAAAAGAGAATATACTAGAAAATTAAAAGAATATGAAAAACAGAAACAGAAGGAAGAGGTAAATTTCTAATTATATGAATTAATATTAAATAATAAATGAATAATGGTATTCATAATAATTGTTCCCTGTTCTCAATTATAGGAAGAGTTACAAGAACAAACTGTGAACGCAGAGCTGTTAAAATTGCAAGATTTCTTAAAAAACGAAAAGAATATTGTTTCAAGGACCAAATCGAAGTTGAATCAATCACCTACTTCGGTTTCAAATATGAGTAATGGAAAAGATAAAGCATTACCTAGTTTTTGGATTCCGTCTAAGACACCAGAAGCAAAGAAGATAAAATTGCAAAAACCCAGTAAAATAGTTTACTGTCCTCTCAGCGGCAAACCTTTGAAAATGAGCGATCTTATCTCAGTTAAATTTACCGAAGTTAAAGATCCAGATGATAATAAGTCGCTTATAGTTAAACAAGCAAGATATATGTGCCCCATTACGCATGATATTTTAAGTAACAGCATCCCCTGTGCAGTAATTAAAACGACGTAAGTGAAATAAATAAATAAGATGAATATTATAAAATTATATTAAATTGATGTTAATATGTTATTATTAATTATTAATATTATTAATTAAATAAATGAATAAACTTTCAGCGGTGATGTCATCACAATGGAGTGCTTCGAGAAAATAATAAAAAAAGAATGGATCAATCCATTGGACAGTTCAAAATTAACAAAAGAAGATATTATACCTTTACAAAGGGTAATATGCACACATATATTTAAATTACATAAGTAAATGTTTTTAAATAAAGAACCTTTCTACTCTTCATTTTTAATTTTACAGGGTGGTACAGGTTATGCAGCTGTAAATGATTCTTTGGAAGGTAAACATGAAAGACCAGTATTACAAGCTTAATTGGACACAGAGTGACTTACTGTAAATATTATATAATACTGTAAATTAACAATAAAAGATTTCTTTCTCTTCTTTCTCTAGCAAACGTTATAATTTTATTTATAATAAAAGTACATTACTAAAAAAGATTTTGATAAAGACCGTAATAATAAAAGCTCGATTCAAAAGCATTATCTAAATACACCAACTACACCATTGTTATTGTAACTTTGCCATTTTATTAAACATTAAGTATACATAATTAAAAGTTGTACCAATCATTTTTTAACACTTTGACTGTCACGTACTTTGAAATAAAAAGTGCCCATTGATCAATTACAAATTTTTATTGGAACATTGAAAATGAAAAATTAATTTCTATGAAATCTTGAATAATAAAAATACTACCTGAGCGAAACATGTGAATAATGGCAATTAAAGAATTAAGTGTTGAAATATATAAAAAATATTTTATCTACTCATTTAGCAGAGATTATTATCCATATTGTACACTTTTGAATTCTGTATATAATATAAATATATTATATATAAGTTTTGTTGAGGAACTTAAATAATAACGATCAATTTAACGAAGTTTAGATGTTTTGTGTTTTGAATATTAATAAAAAGAAAAATGTATGTCTACTCAATGAAAAAAGACGCTGAACTGTAAAGATTAAGTTGCTGAAGAAGTCCCAATAAAGGGACGAAACGTCCAACTAAATCAAACTAAGTTCTACTTCTTTCATGTCCAAGTTCCCTGTTAAATTTTATCATTAAAAATTGTAATTTTTGGACGAGAGAAATACTAAATAAATTATATATAAGTTTTGTTATAATTTATTTATATTTTTTACAAAATCTATATTTGAAAATAATCGTGCTCGTAGATCAAGTGTAATATTTTTTCCGCCATTTTTTCAAATACAGTCAAGAACTCCATAAATATTAATTCATTGAAAACCTCCTAGATGGAGCAGTCTCTTATTCTCTTTTTTCCTTTCGATTTATGGTAAGAATCTGTCTCGTTAAATAATTTTAAGTTATCCAAGAAATCCTATTAATTAAAGTATGTATATTCTAATTATTGATTAAATATTTTATTTATTGTATCCCATTTCTATAATTAAAAATATATTTTCATTTTTCGAAATAATTTTCTTTAAAATTTGAAAGAAATTTGTTACAAGTAAATGTTGCCAGAATGTTTTGAATGTTTTGTTTTGCACTATTTATTTAATTACAATTTAAACAATTACTGTTTTTTTTTGTTTTTTTTTTTCTACGGGACTAAAATTATCTTACAATAATCCTGTATCATTCATTAATTTTTTTTTATAAATGCAACGTGGTTAAACCTAACCTAGCAAAATCTTGGATAACAGATTTTATAAATGATGTTTATAATAACGTGTTAGTTAAGTTGTTTTATATTTCCATAGATGTCGGATATGAAGACTAAATCGCCAGAAAAAGCTGCTGATGCAGCTGTTTCTACAAAGAAAGAAGTTAAGAAGAAATTTGGGAAACCAAGAAATTATGATCTAGGAAATGGTGTTTACAGGTTTAGCCGTTCTCGCATGTATCACAAAAAAGCCATCTACAAGTTTATAGATAAAAAGACAACCAAAGTCGTAAGTAATTTATATTTAATAATTCCCATTTATAAATCATGGAATAGAATTAATGCAAATTTGTTTTTGTATAGGTGAAACTTAAGAAACCCTTAACTACTGAGAAAGAAATAGGTGGTGATAAAAATGGAGAAAAACGTGTTGTTTTATTGAAAAAGAGAAGATCTAATTATCCTACAGCAGATCCTATCACCAAAAAACATACCAAGAAATTCTTCCGTGAACACCATCGATATTTAAGACCCAGTTTAGTTCCAGGAACCGTTTGCATTTTGTTAGCTGGGTCGCACAAGGGAAAGCGTGTTGTTTTCTTGAAACAACTAAAAACTGGATTACTTTTAGTTACAGGTTTGTTTTGATATTATATTTGTCATAACTCTATTTATCTATTAATTTTATTATTCCTAAAAAACTCAATAAATGTTCTGAAATTTTTTAGGCCCATTCCTCATCAATGGTTGTCCGCTGCGTAGAATCAATCAGAACTACGTCATAGCAACTTCAACACGCATTGATCTTTCTGGATATAAATTACCAGAACACATCAACGATGAATATTTCAAGAGGAAACATGATAAACGTGCTAAGAAAGAAGAAGGCGATATCTTCAGTAAAAAGAAGGAAGAATACAAGCCAAATGATCAAAGAAAATCTGATCAAAAGACTGTGGACAAAGTTATAATAGATGCGATTAAGAAAAGTCAAGACAAAAAATTATTGTTCACTTATCTTTCAGCAATGTTTGGTTTGAGGAGCAGTCAGTATCCGCATAGATTAAAATTCTAATAGGCGGCGTTACATTCTCATTTGTTTGTAACTTTTTGAGAAATAATAAATAACAACTTTACATTTTATATGTTTTACAATTAATTATAAACACTATATCTCTAAAATGTTTCCATAATGTCTAATAAAAAAAAGACTTTCACGTTTTATTCTAATAAGATTTTCATTTGTAAACGATATTGCTCTTGATTCTCATGATTAACGATATAGTATTGCATTTATATTTATTTCATAAATTATTAAAAACGTTATACCCATAGACAAAATGTCTCGAAGTGTCCAGTAGAAGAAAAAAAAAAAAAAAAACTTTCTATATTTTATTCTTATATATTCAATGAAAAAAAATAATTGATTAATTCATATAAGAAAAGTATAATGAAACTAACTATCGAGTAAACAATTTATCAGATCTAATATTACATTTGCAAATAATACTATACCTATTTTTCACGATAGATACATATATATATATATATATATATATATGTACTTATTATATAGATAGATATATATGTACACATATTTCCCTCTCTCTGGTTTCCTTTAAACCGCCCCCACATAATTGCTTATGATTCAGTCTGATGATTAGAGTTTGACGTTACGTTAGTAACATGAACAGTTAGCAGCATATCGAATAGCATCAAACACTACGAATTAACGTAAAACATAGATAATAACTTGACTGACAGAAAGAAAGAAAAAGAAAAAAAAAAAGGAATTTCATTAGAGATATACAGCTATAGTGATATCGACTAGATGTCCTAGAAGGTGTAGAGATACATAGGTGTTTCAGTCAATTGCGTGATACATGTGACAGAGTGTGTTAAATGTCTTCCAGAGCTAACGAATTCGCTGCTAATTATCAACGTTTTAATGATGACACTAATCAATCTTTGGAACAAGACATTTCTCATGGATCTAACCAAAGTAAGTTACAATATTTTGCGATTTAATTTTTTTTTTGTTATCCGTATTTAATCGATATTTAACTGTAACTAATCGAAAAAAAGTTTAACAACGGAGACTAAGTTTTTTTTTTTTAAATTATCTCTTCTTTCAATGGGAACACATTTTTACTTTCGTATTTTTATATGTATATGATAAAATAAGATATTATTTTTTTTGCTTTTTCTTTTTTATTTAATTATATTTTATGTTGTACGTAAAAATTTATATATATAAGTGATCTCATTGAATTTTATTTGGAATATAAATATTTTTTAAATCGTATAACTGTACTTTTGAATTAATTTTATTTAGGAGAAATAATTTATGCGTTATTATTATCATTATTATTGATCTTTTTACAATACAAATGTTTTAATTTCTTTTTTATTTTTCTTTCGTATAAAAAGTAAAATGTATATAATAAATAAATGATATAACAGCTTAATTGAATTTTATTCGTGATCTAAATATTTTTGAAATTTTTTTTTACTGAATTTAGATTAGTTTATTTAGAATAAATAATTTATGCACAATTGCAATTAATTAAATTTACAATATAAATATTTTTCTAATAAATCCTTTAATTTTTTAATTGTAATCAATTGTGTAACAACAAATTATTGTGCATGGAATAACATATTAATTTTGTACATATACTTTTATTTACTTGTAACTTTTTATAGAATATGGATCTATGTTGTCTTCCCCAGAAAGTCATGTAAGAATATCTTTAGATGAAACGGAAAATTCCAATAAAACAAATTACAAATTCGATACCGAAAGAATGGATAATACTAATGTTCCTGAAAATACCATCATTGTTTCCCAAGAAGAACCATTGGACATTGATATGCATTGGGAAATGAATTATCATGAAGCTGCTATTTTTTTAGAGGTATTATTATTAATTAATATCAAAATTTTATATTTCAATAAATAAAATCAAATACTTCTTATATAAATTAAAATTTTTTTAATCTGAATATCATATTAATTAAATGAAATCAATTTTAGGAAGGACGAAATAATGAAAAATTTGACTCGCATCCTAGACACCCAGAGGATTTACCTGCATATCTTTTAGTTCATAATAAGTGGTATTATGGACTAGATTTATTAACGTCTCTTATTCTATTAGCTTTAGCATTCGTTGAAGAACCAGCTGTCTCATTATTCCAAGTGAGTTATGAAATATAATAATGAAAAAAAAAGCATTTTACCTTTAGCCGAAACAATAGTCACACAATGAATAAAAAATACTTTTAGATGCCAGTATGGGGTCACAGTACGATAGAACTACTCTGTTTAATTACTATTGGCATAGAATTAGCTTTAAAACTGAGATGGATCGGTTGGGGAACTATGCTGAAACATAAACGTACAATGATAAAGGTAAAAAATACAAAATTAATGATTATTTATGTGTTCAAATAACTTTAGATAATGTATTTTAAAAAGTATTCACAATAAGGAAGCTTTTATCTGCAATAATAACAATAATAATTCTCATCAAAAGTTAAGCAGTAAGAAACAAAGATAAGGAAAGCTGCAGCTGCAAACTAATAAGAAGTATTCGAGTTTTTAACGATTACAATGGTAACAATGAAATAATTTATTTTAACCATTAGTTTCATATCAACATCAAGTCCAATGGTACAAAACAAATTAAACTGGAACATTTGTTACGGTAACGCATCATTGCGAGTAGAATATTATGAAAGTCGTTAATACGATTTGTGCAATAAATTGATATATACATATGTAATACTTTATTAGCATACCCATTAATTTTCATTCTTATTATGCAACCTTATTAAAACATCAGACATCTGAGTCTACTTTGACGGAAGATTCATTAGATATTCATCTGCTACTTAAATGTTTAGTATAAACATGTATACTATTAGAGGAATCATAGGTTTCTTTGTATATATATTATTTGTTTTTAATTTTTAAATAAACATTTGAATTATTGTTTCAGTGCATTACTCTAGCCATTATGTTCCTTGAGGCTATGGTTGTTCTAGTACGGCAGTCTTCTCATTTTAGAGTAACACGAGCTTTAAGACCCATTTTCTTGGTAGATACAAAATATTGTGGCGGAGTTAGAAGATTTATAAGACAGATATTATTAACATTACCTCCAATTTTGGACATGTTAGGACTCCTTCTATTCTTCATTTCTGTTTATACAGTATTGGGTTATTTTATGTTTTCGGAAATGAATAGAAATTTTTCAACATTGGAAAATAGTTTTGTAAGCTTATTTGTTCTTCTCACCACTGCAAAGTAAGTCAATCATATTGTTCTATTCCTTGAAGTATAATATTAATTAAATATTAAATTTTTAGCTTTCCAGATGTAATGATGCCATCTTATTCCAAAAACAAGTGGTACGCAATATATTTTGTATCATATTTGTCGACTATGTTATACGTAATGATGAATTTAATGCTAGCTGTTGTAAACGAAACGTTTACATCAGCGGAACGAGATAAATTTAAAAAATTATATTTGCATAAAAGAAAAGCTTGTCAGCATGCTTTTAAACTATTAGTTTCTAAACAGAATCCAGATAAAATGAAATTTCGACAATTCGAAGGCTTAATGAGATATTATGCACCACATAAATGTAAGTCTAAAATAATACATTAATATCATTAATTATGTTTTATTATAATTGTTTATATATTTACTATTCTATATCTTTATCATTTAAATATTTTTCAGCTACGAGGGACATTGTTTTAATGTTTCGTTACATGAATGTCTCTGGAAGTGGTGCGTTGAACTCTGAAGAATTTTTAGTAATATATGATGCCACAATGCTTCAATGGGAAGTAGAATACTCTAATATACCGTGGTACCATTCAGCATGGCAACCTTTGCAAATGTTATGCGTTGGTGCTCACACTGCTATTAGATGGACATATTTTGAAAGTTTAGTATGTAAGTAAATAAATTATACATTATGTGTAGAAAATAACATCTTATATACTAAAAATATATATTATTCCTTGTTTTTATAGACATAATAATTATAGGAAATGGAATAGCAATGATAATCCGATTAATACAACCAAGTGAAAATATTCAAGTATCAGTTCACAAATTTGCAGCTTGTTGGGACACTTTGCTTTTTGGAAGTTGTAAGTTTAACGATATTTTATAACCCTTAATTACTACTATTATTTATTATCTTATGAATATAATTAATGATTAAAAAATAATTACAGTATTTATATCGGAAGCATTGGCTAAAATATTGGGCCTTGGGATTAAACGTTACCTTAATTCCGGATGGAATCTTTTTGATTTAGGAGCTTCCATTATGACTTTAGTTGCTGCTTGCGGACTTATTCTGTTTCCTAATGCTATGTTCTTAGTGTTATTCAGACCTTTGAGACTTTTAAGACTTTTCAAAATAAAAAAGCGTTATCGAGATGTATTCGGTACGCTTGTTATATTGTTTCCCCTAATGTGTTCTACTGCTATTGTTATGCTTGTTTTATACTATTTCTTTGCTATCATTGGAATGGAATTATTCGCTGGATATGATATGAGAAATTGTTGCAAGTACGTATAACGCAGATATCTTTCTAAATGTATGTACATTATGATAAGTATTTTCTTGCTATTATCGCTATGTTTAAATTATCTATATTTGATTTTATTAGGAACACAACTGTTGAAGATTTTTATAAATATTCTGCTAATGGAAGTACTGCATTAGGATATTATTATCTCAACACATTTGATAATTTAATAGCTAGCAGCGTAACGCTCTTTGAATTAACTGTTGTTAACAATTGGTTCATATTAATGAACGCGTATGCTGTTACCGTTGGTATGTATACCCGGTCATATTTTATGACATTCTACTTGGTAACCATGATCGTCCTCACTATCGTGGTATCCAGTTTCTTGGAAGCATTTAGATTTAGGATACAATATAAAAGATCAACGTCTAAACATGATGGTAAGTTGTATAAACGTGATAATGATATCATTTTTCTCTCAGCAACATTTATGTAATACGCGTATGACATTACCTCGTATATTATAATATTTTCGTAGAAGAAAAAATGTTGCACGAGGAAGTCGAATTAAGATGGAGCGAGTTACAATGCATAATAGAAGATGTTCAACTTCTCGAAGAGTTACGATCTTCATTAGTTGTTGGCGTAAGTATTCTGTGATCTTTTAAATTTAATTTTCAATTTATTATTTCAAATATATAATTTTTTTTTTACACAGGGCACTACTCTTTTTATTGGTTCGCGACCTCGTACCAGAGAGGTTTTACAACGAAAAATGTATACTAATGAAATAACTGAATGGATATCGGAAGCTAAGTTAGAAGAACGTCAAAATGGTATTACTGTTATAAATAATCACGTAGAAAATAGAGAAGGTAACGATGTTTCTGATTCCGAACTTATTTTACATCGAAGATCGCGATCTCCACAAAGTAACGGTGTTACACAACGCACCTAATAATATTCAGTAATAATTATTTAATTGTACAAATTAAATTCGTCGACAATTTTCCGTCAATTCATTCTATTTTTAGTATATCATCTCAAACGATATAATATCTTTCTTTTTTTTTTATTTATTCAAGATTGTTAAAGCGAATTAAATTAAAGAAAAGCACGAATACGTCTGTCCTTAGTAGATTTATATTTTAAAGAAAATATTTTTAGTGAAATAAATATAATTTATCATTGACGACATAAATAGTGACATAAAAAAAAGCAATTAATGTGATCTTATTAATGCTGGCATTAATATAATAATAATAATACTATATATACATTTTTCTGACATATTATTTAACACGTTAAAGGCCACACAAGTCTCCTTTCTTGAGCTTTCCATTTAGATCACAATGATCTATCAGCAACAGAAAAAGAATGTTGGCTGTTAATAATCAATGCGGCTTAGATGGATAATAAGGTCAATTTTATAGGCCACCAGCGTGGTTTTTAACGTGTTAATGTTTTATATAAATTAGGAAATACTTTTTTCGAATAAATTATGTTTTTATGATGTCTGCTATCAATTCATATTTTTAATAATATTTCGCACATTTTCTTTTCATTTCTATTTATAATAATTTATTTTTTTTCTTTCTGATTTATTTAATTTATATATAATAAATTATTCTTTTTTTTCATTGCATAATTTTTTCATACTCATTACTAATAATGCAAATATATTTTAGTGTTATGCTATAATCAGTAATCATAATTTTTGTTTAATGCTGTATATTAATATAAATATTTATAAATAATATACTGACACATATATATATATAAATATATGTAACTTTATATGTGATGTAAGATAAAATGATATTTTCATTTCGATTATATATTTCTTTTTAACGAATTGTAAATGAAATAAAAACTAAAAATATTGATTAGGTTTTTCTTGTATGCATTAATTCTGTTAATATAATTAGGAATGATTATATATACATATATATGTATTATTACATAATTCTATTATTATTATTATTATTATCATTATTATTATGCGTATTTGAGTATTGGCATTATTTGTCATATATTCGATCAATTTGTATATTTTTTTAATGTTATCATCACAAGAATAAATATATTATATTTTATTTATTTATTTATTTATTGAAACACAATTGGTAATTATTTTGGAATCATACTCTTTCGATTATAAAATACATTAATATGTAAGCGTTATTTGTATTACGATACACATTCCAGATATGATCATTAAGTTTGTTCTTTATATTTATAAATGTATAAATTTGAAGCTACCTTATGTATTAAATACAATATATAAAGAATACAATTATAGTTCATTAATTAGTAATGCGATTTTCATGTAATAATTGTAAGAACATTTTATTCATTGATTATAACACCACTACCACCTAAACTTGTCGACATAACACCACAACCATACGCAATTAATTTTTGGGAAATACTTGATATAATTTCAGGTTGGGTATTATGCGGTAATAAAATAAAAGCATGTCCTCCACCACCGGCACCTGTTAACTTTGCACCAAATTCATAATTTTGAGCTTCCACGCATATTTTATCTAACAATGGATAAGATACTTGAAGTGCTGCTAGAAAGTGTTGATTAATGTCGATGAGCGTCTAAAAGTGGTCAAAATTAATATAAGAATGTATCTTATTCTAAAGGAATAGTTTCTAAGGATTTTAAGTTTCATTTACTTACTCTTAACTGATTGTATTTTTCATTCTCTTTGCTATCATTATCTGTTTGATTTGTATTATCTTCAGTAAGAATTTTTAATGCTTCTTTTGCTACATTATTTATAGCATCCATGATACAATCAAAAACAGTAGGAAACATTAATTTCAACTTAGCTGTTTTATCTATCATCGCTTTAGTGCTTCTTTGTGCTTTAGTATTAACTAATAAAATTTTCAATTTCATCGCATTGGGTATCAACCTTACCCCATCGCCTTTTCTAAATTCTACTATTGATCCATAAGTGCAAATGGAATTATCAATTCCGGATGGTGTACCGTGTAAAATCTTTTCACATTCGAACGCATAATTTGTTATAATTTCCAAATCGCTTGCATCTAAAGTTTTACGGATATTTTTCTGTAAACGTGACCAATGAAGAAAACAAGCGGACAAACAAACCGAAAAAGAAGCTGAACTCCCAAGTCCAGCACCAATCGTTAACTCTGTACTCAAATTTATTTCAATGGGTTTTACATTAATTCCTTCTTTTTCAACTACATATATTAATAAATAAAAAAGCGCTTCTAAACATAATTTTTGTGGTGATTGATTAGAATAACCTAGTTCGCTTGAGAGTCGATGAATATCATTAGAAAAATTATCACGATTGTTTTCTAAACAATAAGTTTTATAAATATTAATATATGATACTATTAATGAAATGGGTATGCTCAACTTTAAGTTCATATCATGAAAATTTAATTTTATAACATCATTTACTTCTTCTATCTCTTGAAATGTTAAATTCGTACGTAAATTTAAACTAGCTGCTAGTGCAGTTTTTCCATACATAACTGCATGTTCACCGAACAAAATAATTTTTCCCGGTGCAGATACCTTAAATGAGATCATTTTTATACGAATAGATTATTAAATCCTGATACAATATTAACAATGAAAAATATATTATTAAATTCCTGTTTTAAACTATAAAATAACTGCTGATGTGATATCTAAGTGAAACATGATATGAAATTATATTTGTTGTTTCTTCCACTGTTCTGGTGTAAACGTTTTTTGTGAAAATGCATGGATTGTTTTCAGTTCTTCTTCTAGAATTGAATTTACCAACCTATACGATTTAAAAAATTGATCATATTAATATCACATCATATACAAGGTGTCTGAGGTTTTTGCAGCCAAATTATGTCAGCATATTCTAAGTTTTTTTCATAGATAAAATAGGCTGATATTATTTAGCTAGACAAACCTCAGACACCCTATATATTATATTATAAATAAATCAAATCAAATTTTACATTTATATGTGCAATAATAAAAAGAAAAGATAATATTACCGATGTTGTTGCAACAAAGTTTTGCCTTCGAATTCATCAGAAACGATAATTACAGTAAATTTAGAACCGCAACCATCAGAATCATCTGTTACCTCCTGAAAAAAAAGAGAATATTAATAGTTAGACTACGATTAATAAAAATTCTCTCAAATATAATGACAATACCTATGAACACATGTAAATATGTTGCAGTAAAACAATCATATGCAAAGTTCGACAACTTTATTTCTCATTTTTATATACCACTTGCAATAAATGTACGAAACGAGTATTCAGATACAACTAAACTGTGGAATAAGAACTTCAAATCTAGAACGAAGACTTTTTTATATTCATTATTCATATACAAGTTGGATAATAGATCAAAGTTCACTTTAGTTGAATTATAATTATTAGTATATTATTGAAAATATTCAAATATTTTCTGTACCATTGACAAATGGAATAGATTTAAAATTAGAACGCATAATATTTACAAATACTTAAACATTAAAAATCGTATAGTTATAATAATCTTGATTAAATTGAACATAAATATTAATTTGTTTAATTGATTTGTTCAATTATAATGAATATAAATACAAAATATGAAAGTAATGCAAGATTCCCTTTTTAAATACTTAAACCTCATATTTATTTCTTTGTATTAAAAAAATACAAGTTAATCATTTATACAATGTCTATTATATCATAAAATATATGAAATAAAACTAAAAATAAGCAATTACATTATACTTAAGAAAGAAAGCCCTCGATTCAATGTATTTTTAACCGAGTCGCAAAATTATTATCTACAAGTATAAATTGTTTATAACAGAAATACAAAAAGAAAAGAAAAAAGTGAATGCAAGAATAGACGGATATCAATACTGCAAACAAATCTGGGTATTTTTCAGGTGGTTTTAAACAATGAATAGTAAAAGATAAAATTAACATTCCTAGCATAGAAATGTAAAATAATGTCTTAATTATGAAATTATATCCGTAATGATACTCTAATTTATGTATGAAATTAAACAAATATTTATTGAAATAGTGTTTATGTTTCGATATCCTTTGACTGTTTGTTTTTCCTTTGGAAAATTTTCTTTCACGTTTGTCGGATTTATTTGCGACGTCGAATAAATCTGACCACATCCAAATGATAGAAAGAATATAAAACATTGTCATTGCAAAGTATGCCAGATACAAATTATCTTTTACATACAATGGTAACATACTAAAATGAGAAACTAATAATAACCAAAAACATGCTAAAGGATCATTATGAAAATACAATAACACTGGAATTGCTACCAAAAGAATAGACTTTTCATGAACTTGAAATGAAAATAAAAAAAATGCCAATGAAGAATTTATAAGAGAAATAATAAATTTATCTTTTCTCGGCGATAGATACAAATTAATACAAACTGGTAAAACAGCGATGGTCGTTATTACCAAACAGATTTGTGCCAATTGTTCGTTTGTAAAGGTGTTACGTAATTTGTAAAGAACATTTATTGTACACCATACATTAGCAACTTTGTCTTCAAACACGCCTCTGTTAAATGGGAATAATCGTAAAACTGTATTCATAAAGGTGTACCGATCTTTAAGGAAAGGTAACCAAATAATAATAAATGTTGTTAAAACAGTTAATGAGACAGAAACTAATCTATAGATTGATAAAAGCAATGATTTGGTCTTATTGATTCTACACTTTCCAAGTATGTAAAAAAAGAATGGCAAAGAATGATATAATTCCATTTGCTTGTAATTTAACGCTAATACAAATAAAAATGAACCGCCTACAAAAGAATCAATTAAAATAGCTGTTACAGCAGCAATGAAAAATCCTAACGATATACAATTATATTGAAAGTGACCGTGATCGATCATCACAATGCCAGGATAAATCAATGCGCTTAAAAGTATAAAATCTTTACTTTTAAAATTAAACAAATTATTGTATTCTGTTATAGGATTCTTAATTATTGGTGTGCTCATAACATACCATACCACTGCGGGCAAAAAAATCATAGCATCTGCGAAAAGAACGGTCATTCTCATGAAATATTTATGATCCGGAGAGGATATTCCTCTAGATTCGTGTAATTTAACGTAAGAAGGATTGGTCGAGTTAGCAATATAACCTAATAGAAGGCTATGATATGCAGTCAAGGGAGGATAATCTAAGCCCCAATAATTTAGATCGTTGTCCGTCGTATTGACGTACCAATTTTGTATAGGTAGATTTAAGGTTATTTCTTGCCAATGTCGTTGAGCCTCGTAATCTCCATACATAGGAGGTTTATCTTGGCCACTGTGGGAATGATAAGTAATGCACCATCTTAAAACGAGTGCAAAAATAAAGATGAGTACTACTTGCATAGACCCACGCAGACCCATTTCTTACTATGATCTTATACAATGAATCGATTAAATAAAGTATACTTGTTACTTTAATATCGATGTTATAGATTAACACTGTAAATTTGGAGGTTATAACAGATTCAACATTTTTACGAAAAGAAGGCTAATAATATGTTTGATTCAATATTACATACCACGTGCGAAGCATTCAATTTTGTGGTTAGTTTATCTTGAATATATTCCTTTGTATACGACATTATTATTTTTTGGTTTTAGAAATAATATATTAAATTACGAATCTTAAATATTGGCAGCGTTAAATATTTGCACAAATTATTAAGTCTTTCTCTCTCTTCGTTGATTTTCCACTAAACGTGCGAACCTATGTATAAGCAGAAACGAATAGAATGGCGATATCTCTCTAATCTTTGATCTCTAACTTTCGATATTTGTTTACAAGTTATATCGGTTTGAACTGATTACCTATTTTCCTTACTTTTTTTTAGATGTTTCATTTACGTCGCGAATTCTAACGAAAATCCTTATTTGAAAATATCGTGTTTGATTGAAATTTAATAACCGTTTATATCGAATATGTCTTTTTTATTTGTTTCTTTTAATCATTTCGTAATTAAATATTATGCAATTGATAGGAAATGATTTACCTTAGAACGATGAAATATTTGTAATATTAATAAGAAACAATAGAGTCGGATAAAAATCAAATAAAAGTCAAAAGGTTTATACTCTAATTGACGAACGTCTGTCCAATTTGCCACGTCAAACGTGTATCTAATAATGAAATACATTAAAAAGAAATACCTACCTGACCAATCTGCTTTTACATTCGTTGAAACGTTGATAATAACAGAATAGTATATTTATCAACAATTATTTTTATATATATTCTTCAAATGATTATTTGCACAATATATATATATATATATAATTTCTATTAATTTTTTAAGAAATGTAAATTTTTAAAAATTCAAAAGGCGTATTTGCAGGATAGACCAAAAATTTAAATACGGTAAAATGTCTCGTAAATAATGTAATTTTAAATAAAAATACTTCTTAGAAAGAGAAAAGTTGTAAGGTTTATTAAAACTTATTGAACGATTACAGGAAGTATGAACCTTTCAACTTTTGTTTGAAATTTTCTTTTAAAAATTGCATTTTTTACGAAATATTTGATTGTATGAAAAACTTCAGGGCCAACCTGGTAAAGTTTAATTGGTTACCATAGAAATTAAATTCAATTAACAATGAGTTTCTATTTTTTTTTTTTTACAATAAAATAAATACACAGGTGAATCATAGTTTTACGAAACATAGATATAATACGTTTATGCGTGTGTAAATTAAATGAATGAAAAAATTAATTCGTTCTCATCGCTCATGAAATATGTTTCTCGTATTTGATATGAAAGAATTGTTATATAAGTGAATTTAATGATCACGAAATGATGGTTAATTAGGTATGATGTAATCGACATTTATATTTATTCTTTCCTTTTTTAATATATATATGTATATATATACTTTTATTTCTACGCACGTGGAAAGTTTTTTATATTATATTTTGTAATAATTATCATTTTTTGTCTATATACGTTGAGTGTTCCTTAGATTCACGTACATCGTTACATTTACTAGATTTTTGTTCGAAAACAATTGATATATAGTACGTTTAAAACGAAGGAAATCTAAAAATAAATACATTAGTATAAAAAAGCTTTCATATATCTGTTAATATATTTCGTGTATTAAAACAAAATTTCGATCTGTGATATTTAATTGGATGAAAATTTTCGATTAAAAGTCATCGCTAATCTGAAACGTTAAAAACAATGTAAAATATTAGTAGAGTACATTAGAATGTTCGATATATTCTAAATGATTGTTAATTAATACAAAAAAAAATGTATATTATAATTTAAAAACATGGAATATAAGTTCGATGTGCCTTCCTCTTCAAAAGCTCCCGTTAGACTGATTCCGTTGTTCTCTATGAAAGTTCTTTTATTAAATGTTGTTTATATGACTTTCCGAAGGCTACAAATACATTACAAAAATAATATTCGTAATAAATAGAATTTCCTTATTCGGAAAGTCATTTAATAAAAGAACTTTCACAGAGGATAACGTACCAGTTTGAAGGTGAATTTCGAAGAGGACGGTGCTCCGAACATATACTCAGTGCTTGTAAATTGCAATACACATTTTTTTCGATTAATTATCAATCCTTTTTAGGTATATCGAATATTATGATGTTACTTTATTAATATTTTCTATTGTTTCAAAGTTTCTGATCACCGATGATTTTTAGTCGAAAATTTTTATCTAACAAAATATCAGATAGAAATTGTTTAATATTCGAGGTATATTAATAGATATGTAATGTTTCAACAAACGTTTGTATTATTTTTATTTTAATCGATATTAATATAATTCTAAGATATTAGAAAACATTTAAGTAACAGTTAAAAACAAAGGATAATCAATTGTCAGGCGTGAAAAAACCGGGTATTCTTTTTGTTTTTACAGTTATACCAACGATTTTAAAATACGGGCATTTTTTATACATTATTTTCGTATTTGTTTAATTCTCTTGTTATAAATAAAGTTAAACTCGTTAATAATATGTATAATTAATGTATAATAATGTATTTATTTTGAAATTTTCTTCATTTTAAACAGACTATATCATCAATAGTTTTTAAGCAAAAATTTAGTAAGCGTTTTTAAGTGACACTCACCGTATATAGATTTCGTGTATATTATATATGTGCATAGAATTTGAGAAGGTGATCATTTCAGGAACTTTATCGTTTTTTAACACGAATTGAAATGATCTAATTTTATAATTGATAATTCGTTGAGTTATATGCAACGCGCAATGAAAATTATCGATAGCTCTTAATTAATTACAAACATATATTTCAACAAAATTATTCACTCTTCTTCGTTGATCCTAATAATTCTAATAATCACTATATTGCTTTTTTTCTAGGCAGTATCACAATGAATCAGCGAAATTGAATTATCTAATAAAGTTTGAATATACGATTTGATTTTGTCGAGTAGTAGCACATCTATCTGGCAACAAATCTAACAATGTTTTACGTCGAACGACGTAATAAACAATTACGAGGATCATTCCCCTTCGTTAATTAACAAATTTGTACTTATATTAAATTAATTACAGATCTTACGATTATAACGTATAGATTCATAAAAATATTTGCAATTCTCGGAAATGCCTTTGTTTCTATCTAATCATTGCAATTAAAATTTTTTCAAATTGTTAATTGTAACGTCTTCATTTTAAATATTTCAATGCATAATAACGATATAAATACATATGTATCAAGCTTTAACGTTATCGCGTAATAACTTATTATCAAATGACGTAGATATTTCATTGCAAGATAGTCCAATAGTAGATAAAAATGAAACTAGACAGATATTTCGATAGTATTATTACAGCGAAATCAATATATTGGAATAGTAAAATTATTTTAAAATTTTTTTCATTTGTTTCGTCTGATGTTGCATACTGTATTGAGCATTTTCGGCTTTCGTTATCAAAGATTCTAATTTGTTCAAATGCGAGCCCATTTTTTCATTGATGTCAATTTTTTTAGACATAGCAATGCTGTCGCTACTTTCCTCGGTAATTATTGGATTTTTCGAATTCTCCGATAAATCGACCGTCATGCTTTCTTCTTCCGCTGGTATCGTTACTTGTCCTTCTTTTCCTTTATCATGTTCCAATGATTTATGATTCGGTGTACCACTACGTGATCCTACCCTTACTTTCAGCAACGTACTCAGACTGCCGCAAACGTTCTGAACAAATATTTTCTTATTAAACAATATTATTACAAAATTACAAGGATAAAATATTTCATATATCAAATGATTTTACCTTAAATCTGTTGATTTTTTTTTGAGTTACATTGAGGATGGTATTCAATTCGTCCAATCCACCGCTAACTCTTTGCGCACTTTCGTTCGAGCTGTCCAAATTCTATAATACAAAACGACAATCGTATATCATAAATTATTAATTTTTAGGTCAAGTATTCTTTTCTTTTCTTTCTCTTTGAACAAAGTTGCAAGAAAATACTATTCAAAGTTGATAAGAAAATTATTGTGCTCGTGCGGGAATTTATTAGCAGGTATAAGCTAAGAACGAAAATAAGTAAAGTAAATTGTTAGAAAAAGTAAAACAAAGTTTACCTGAAGGATCGCGTCATCATCGTCCCCGGGTTCGGCACTATTAGCTTCCTGTGCTTTTTGATTTTCAGTCCATTCATCGAAATTTGGAATAGGCAAACCGAGTAATTCTGCTCTCTCGCAAGCATAATTGTAGGCTTCGGACATTATACAGGATCAATTACGTAGCTACTTTAGGAATCTCTAACTACGAACATGTAACTTTGATGAATCAATTAATTAATTACGTAATTATTGCCGATCAAACGTTTAGGCTCGATTACGCGATGGTATTTTATATTAATTACAATTAAAAATTGTCAAACGTTGATCCTCAACAAACGTGTTCCGTTGAGATACTAAATAATTTTCTTATGTTTATATTTCTAAGACGAAATTATCTTCAAATGATTAACCCTCAACATATGTACTAGTACACGGAACTGTCAAGTATTTTTAATTTATCTCGAATAAAATGATACGAGTGTTAGATTTCAGATATAGGGTTAAAAATCACCGTCACGTTGCTGGAAGACTTGCCCAACTCGGGAATCCATATTGGGATGAATTGTGCGCAAACTCAATAAAACTACCGATAAAAAGGGCTATGGCATTGTTTAAAGTCCCTGCCTTATCAAATTCAATTCGATTTTTAAACTTTTACCAGCGAATAAGCTTTTCTCAAATCTGTTTGTAATTCATTTCATTGCGAAATTAGAATATCTTTAGAAAAGTGATTAAACAAAACTGAAATATACGGATCGAGCATGATATTTACTTCGAACGAGATTCGAAATTATTTACTTGCGAATTTAGGATGTCGTTTAAACAAAAAATATATAGGAAACGAGTTACATCATGCAGGAAATTATTACGCCAAAGAGAAATCTAATCGAGATGAAATATAAAAAGGTCTAGGATCGATATAATTGATGCATGATGTCGAGCAATTTGCATTTGTCAAGATTTTGTAGAAGCCCGGGGTGATAATACGATGAATGATATTTCGAAGCAAAAATTCGAGCTAACGAATGAATAAGGAAAAATATAAAAATAACTCGGTCGTACGATCTACACAAAGTCGTACTCGTGGCATGGAAACACGAATATTTCGCGTCAGTGGTTTTCAAACATTTTTTTTCGAGATAACGTTTGCCGTTTGACAATGAAAAAATGAAAAATAAAAAATATTCGTCCAATTTTATGCCAGTAAAAATACGCATTTTTACGGTTATACTTTTACCATATACGATTGTATATGAAATAAATTATAAATGAAAGTAAGAGAAAAAGATATTTTTGTATAAAGAATCACACAACTTTTTTACATGTTTAATTTATTATCTCAGCATAATACAAAAAAAAGAATAATATTTAAATAAAATAACATTTTACTCGTTATGATATTTTATATAGTTTGTAATTGTTTTATGTTCTATAACAACGACCATTGGTATTAAGATCGTCGAATGATTTGAAAACCCCTGTATTATATGATCTACTATTCTGTGCAGATAAAAATAAGAACTTAATGAACAATTTAATGAACGAAATACACGTGCTTCTGTCGTATGTCTTGTCCATGAACTTGCATACGCAGCAATCGAAGAATCATTATGTCTGAACACGTGGATAGGTGTATAAATTAACATAATTAATAATCGTTACAAAAGTATATGCGCATGCCAACTTGGAAGACAAATGTGAGAACAGTGCAAGGAGAGCCGTTTAGAAGCCTTTTCTTTTTTCCTTCTTGATATTATTGCATCGTATTAAATTTCCAACGTCGGCGAAATATTGGCCGACTTATTTATCCTCGGTCAGTCTCGACAACGTTTGTCTCGCGAAGAGATCTTTAATGACTGTATATTTGATTCATTAGTGATAATACGTAACGTATAGTAATATCCATGCAAATTTTTCGCAAGAAACGAACACGAGAGGATAGAAAACATTTTTTCCCCGTATCTCGTCTGACTGATCAGTCTGGATTCCTCGTTGATGCAGAGCTAAAATATTAACATTTCTTTTTTTTTCTGACTTTGGTAAAAAAAAACCAAGACAATAAGAATAACATTTGCATTCTATTTTGTCGCTTCAAGATATTTCTCATTCGCATCTAGCTACGATCGCGACAACCTTGATAACGCAGACATTTTTTTTTTAAAACATAAACAAATTCTAATAAAAAACAACAACCGATATAAACTGTTAAGAATAACACGTGTATATATATATATATATATATTTTCAAATATTTCATCTAACAATTTAAAATAATACTTCGATATAAAGCGCATATATAATTCCAATAACAACAAAATATACACATTTATTAGGTAAAATGACTCGACGTAATATTTACAAAATAAATGCGCTTTATATTATATCATTAAATCTTTACGATCTAAGTACACTACTAACTCTCAATGTTTATTCATAATTCATAATCGTATGTGCGATAAAGCGCGCTTGAAAGTCGCGCGCACGGATTTTCGGGCGTTCGGAAATCTTCGTAGAGAGCGACCAATCACCGAGTGACCTTTTACTTCCTTCGGCTAGATTCGTGGATAGAACGCGGTCAGGACTTCCCCTTCTCATTGTTAACGACGCGAGTGGTCGTGAAAGCCGAACGACGGTGGTCGGATGTGTCGTGTTTCAGTTCGGTCAGCGACGTACTGCACGAAGCAGTTTGGGAGCATCTCCTCTGTGCTTTCTTCCATTCGCTTTCACTATCATCCTTCTCTCTTACACTTTCGTATCTCGTGCTGCAGTGTATTATATATAAATATATATATATTTGAGTATATATATATACTTATATCTACGCTGTTACAGGCGGCCGAGCACGATAGACTTTGTGTCTCGCATGTGTTTTGTATGTATATATACGCGTATAGGTGATTCGTCTTTTTCTTACACATTTTCACATACACATACCACACATACACTGAATGTACCATTCTCTCGGAGAGTACATCGCGTTTTCTCTCTTTTCAACGAGAAAAAATCCTAATTTTTTTGTCTCGAGTATACCGAATAATATGTGCAGTTTTTAGTGCTAAATGATTAGAGAAAAAAGAAGACAAAGATAATAGAGAACAAAAAAAAGGAAAGTAGATGGGATATGGTGGAAGTTTATTGAGGTTCCTTCTTCACAAACGCACGCCGTTTTGACAGCAACAGACACAGAAGCAGAAACAGGGCAACGGCCCAGACGGTTTCCTAGCGTCTCTTCACTTGGATTCTCTTCTTCCCCCTTTCTCATCCTGTCGGTCGAAGCTCCCTCATCGTTTCTTCTGTCTCTGTTTTTCTTACCAAACATTTACGAGCAAAAGAAAAGACCAAAAGCACGCCTCCTCTAACACAACCACCACCACCATCATCACCAACCACCACCACCACCAGCAAAAGCAACATTTTTCTCAAGATTTGAACAGGAATTCATATTTTCCAACGCATTGGGGTGAGTTTTTATTAGTTTTTCTTTTTTCCATTCTTCCTATCCTTTTTTTTTTATCGATTTAATTTTTTTATTTTGCAAATTTCAATAAAAGAAGAAAAAAAATACGTTACGAGTAGTCGCGAGAATTTTTATTTCAATCGAAGAATTCATATTTTGCATTATACCCTCTTTCCTTGCTTTTTTTTTTTGTACATAATCATTTTTTCTTTTTTTTTAATTTCTTCACACCGACGATTATCTCACCGGCCAATCAGATGCGTTCTAAGAATTTTAATAGGCTGAAATTAAATGGTCGCGAAGGTGGGAGAGATTAACATGAATCAAATTAATGTAATCAATTACGTTCTTTAAATTTTATTTATTAAACTTAGATGGATTTCTTCGAAGAAAAAAAAAGAAATAAAGGGGCAATCGTTTTAAAATCACGAAAATGTCAGTTATTTCGTTAAAAAATCAAAATCAGATATATTTTATCTTTGATCTTTTTACCTCATAATTTTGTTAAGGTTAAACATCTCTTTTTGAATAGAGAGGATTATTTCATCCGACCAATCAGATTAATTCTAAGAATTTGAATCGGCGGAGATAAAATGGTGGTCAAGATGAGAGAATCTTTAATAAGTAATATCAATTTAAAAATCAATTATATATTTCAGTATATATTTTTATTCGTTCTAGGAATTTTTTCCAAAGAATAAAAGATAAATAAAACAAGAAGAATAGTCGTTTTAAAATCAGAAAAATGTCAGTTCTCTCATACAAAAAATCGAAACTTGATATTTTATCTCTTTCCTTTTCTCTCTCTTTTTTTTTCTTTTCTTTTTTTTTACGTCATCATTTTTTTTTAAAGTTTAGTTAATCTCTTCCGACCGGCGAACTATCTCGTCGGCCAATCAGATGCATTATAAATATTTTAGTAGGCGGAAATAAAATGGTTGCTAATATGAGAGAAAGTTTAAGATAAATAAAATCAATCTAATCAATTATATTCATTTTGAGAAGAGATGATATTTATTGAACTTAGAAGTCCTCGTAGATTTTTTGGTCTTTCTCTTCTTTTTCGTCTTTCTCTTCTTTTTCGTCTTTTTTTTTCTTTTTTCTTTTTTCTTTTTCAAGCTCAAGCATTAAAATCCGAAGTATTTCTCGAAGCGTGGCAGTATCGTAACGGGCATGGAAAAATCCACGCAATCCCCGTTATTCTGTTTCCTCGTCCGTGATCGGGTTTATATGTTGGTGTGTGTGTGTATGTCTCTCTTTCTCGTGTGAGAACATAAGAAAGATTATGGTTGTGTATTAGCTTGCCAACGTTCATTCGAAACAAGGAATTGCATTATAATATAAACGACTATGGCTACTACTATACATTTTTGAATAAAACATACGTTCATATATACTCTATGTATTGGCTTTTTCTCATTTTTTTTCTTTTTTTTTTTTTCTCTCGTACAGAAACATAACAGATCAGCTGATGCAATGGTAATTGTAAGAAAGATTGTAATTCGATCATTATCTTACCCCCCTCCTCCTCCTACTCGACCTCCCTCACCTCCTATACTTTTCTTTCATTTCTCTAATCGATTTATTGCGAGTACAATTTGCGATCGAGGTCGGGTCGAAATTCCTTAGCCGTTTACTTCCGCTTCGAAGAAAGTTTTATCTCTAGGTGTAAATAATAAAAACAAATACGAACATTCATTTGGGGGAATTGATTTATGTTAAATGATTTGTAATTTATAGAAATGAATTGTAATTTTCTTTTTTTGAATTTATCGAAACATTTTACTCGAAATCATTATATTTGATTATATTGACAATCCAGTTGTGTTCATTTATATAATAGCCAAATCGATTAATTCTATTTTATCAAAGCATAGATATAAAATTGATCGAAGTTACATGTGCATTGTCGAATCGTTCATTATTCAACTATCGTAATCATTTTTCTTATTTTATCGGTGTTAAAAAACTTAATTATTTTTTTTTTTTTTGAAACTGAAAAGAACAGCAGCGTAAGTCTTAGAAAATTTCTTTTTTCATACACGTAATTGCGTGGGTGCGTATAACAATAATAGAAGAGAGAGAAAGAGAGAGAGAGAGAAAGAAAGAGAGAGAGAGAGAAAGAGAAAGAAAAAAGAAAGATAACGAATTATTTGTTATTCCTTTCTAAAGATTTAAAACACAGGGCTCCTTCTTATTTCGTCGAACACTCATACGTATATCTATAATACTAACATACTATAATACATGCATATACGTAAATTAAATTTCCGTTTCGATCAGTATATAAGATGATTCAGTATAAAATATTTAAAAAATTCACGAAGAATATAAATACGGTAGATATTCGTAAATATAGATAATAATGTACTCTACCCAAAAATTTACTATAATGTACTGAATGTGTATTATAATCATTTATCTACATAATTACTTTTTATATTAAATGCATAATATTAATTATTGAATGCATGTATATTCGAAAAATTTATAATAACATCAAACGTGTATTATGTTTTTAAAAATGATTTTAATATTAATTTTATTAGTTATAAATTTAATATAATCTTAAATGTGTGTGTGTATTCTAATATATATATATTTTTTTTTTATTATTATTAAATACTTACTCGTCAAAATAAAAATGCATCGTAGTCGAAAAAATAAGTTTCGTTTGCGTCTTTTTGTAAATCAACGTGAAAAAAATGCTATTCGATATACTCATTGTTTCGAATTAACATAAGATAGTATATTAGAAATCATAATCACTCGTTCATTAGGTTCTTTTTTTTTCTTCTACGGTGGATATGAATATTGATGACGTATCATTTAATTATATACGCATTTATATGCTCATAAAAAAAAGAGAAAAATGTTTTATTTCCTTCATTAAAGCAGTTTTTATTATAAACTTTCCATTTGAAGAATTCCAATTGATACTCTATTCGATATGATATAAAAGAAAGAAATCGTTATTTTGATTGATCGATTATGCGAGATAAAAATAAATATTACTATAACGATGTATCTTACGATCGTTCATTGAACTATCTTATCTTTTTATACTTAAACGATTTCTTATTGATTATTTAACGTTGGAATTATCAAAATCAATCATTTTAATTATTTTAAATAGAATTTTCATATTTCATATATATATATAAATAATATTTAATATTAAAATATTAATGAAATATATTTATTATAATTTTATTGTATAATAAAATTATTATATTAATTATTATATATATATATATCATACGTTTATTATTTAAAAAAAATATTTTTTTAGCAATATTTTATTTATTGCAAATCGATATTGAATATACATAAAAATGTAAAAAGAAATAAAAAGAAAAAAAGAAAAATCCATTCAATATATTTTATCTATAATCAATCGTAACGATTAGGCTTCTAATAGAAATCAGGTATACAATAATAATTATCGATAGTTCCAAGTGATAATTGGATAGAAACATTCCTACGATTTCGTTTTGGAAATAGATTTTACAATTGTTAGTCGATTGTGAAACGGATGTAGGATATTTTTTTTTCTTTTTTTTTTCTTTTCTCTCTGAAAAATAATAATCATAATCCTCGGCAACTAAGAAGCATGTTTTTGATTAGATTGTTTGCGCGAACGAAGCAAATATTTCTTTTCTTACATGAGTGATGATTGTTTGCTTTAGTTTAACAATAAGTTTCGCAGTCTTTCCTTTGAACGTTTCGCGTGATCCTGAATAAATAAAAAAATAAAAAAAAAAAGGAAAGAAAGAAAGAAAGAAAGAGAAAAAAAAAAGTATCGTACGACTGGCGGCCATATTTTTTTTTCTCACCGGTTAAGAAAAAGAAATTTTCCGCTAAGGTCGTGTTCGATTTTTTTCGCTATATCGAGATATGATTCTGCACTTTGTTGTCGTGATTTTTTAACTAATGGAATGATAAGAATCCGTGAAAGGGTCAACAGTGATTCTCTATTTGCTTTAACCCGTACAATTTATTTTCTTTTATTTTTTTTTTATCATTCTTATAATTAGTAGTCTCCCCTACCATTAGATTTGATCGATTCATTTTCAATGTCATCGAATATTCCCGAGAATGGAAATTTGTCTCTTTGGGGAAACCCCATTAGAAGAAAAACACCTATTCCTTGTTATTTTCCAGATTATGTGTTATTGCTACATCTCTAAGGATGATTAATAAGTAAAGAATGATTTTATTCTTTTTTTCGAAAGAGCAATAACAGTTTTTTCTTTTTATTTTCGTCATTCGTTGATAATGAATCGAAGGTCGACGTATCAAGTTTCATATGGTCTTGTGTAATGAGCTATAATGACTATCCTATCGTATTATATGTATTTAATTTTGTACTTACGATTATTTATCGTTAATATATTTATGTATCACAGTAGTTCATTTATTTTTGAACACGTTTTATTTCACGTGTTTTATAATACATATATAATATAAATATATTATATGTGTGTGTGTGTGTGTAATATTGTTGAATAATCGTTTAAATTTGATTTATTACACATATTATGTGACGTACGCAATTTATAAAACAAATAATTTATCTCTATTTATATTAATGTCAATATTTAATTATTAATTTATTGATAATTCGATGTTATACGTTTATGTGGAATATATTTTTTTTTTTGCTGGTTTATTTAGTATACTTTATATAGAATTTGAAAGTTTACAATACAATCTAATTTTCTTCAAAGATCAATTAGAAGTTTCTTTGCGGTGTTGGAAAGTGGGTTAAAAAGTTTTGAGTATTAACAAAAATAAAGAAAAGAACAACCTTGACCATTATTGTACGTAAAAGTGGATTTAGTTTTGTTAGGTTCAACACTTGTCAACCCACTCATTTATATAAATTAATATTTCCTATTTATGGGATGTTTAAAACAATTCAAATTGGTAGCACGTAATAATATGTCGAATTTATTTTATGGGATAACGTATTATAATGATAAATAAAATTGCATAGATAT